AGGTCCTGAGAAAAAATAGTGCCCAGGAAGCGGAAGGACTCCACATTGTTGACTGGGGAGTCGCATAGGGTGATGGGGGTGAGTGGGGCTGTATTCTTACTGAAGTCCACAACCATCTCCACGGTCTTATGAGCATTAAGCTCCAGGTTGTTCTGGCTACACCAGGTCACCAGGTTGTCAGCTTCCCTCCTATAGTCAGACTCATCCCCATCAGAGATGAGCCCAATGAGGGTGGTGTCGTCCACAAACTTCAAGAGTTTGACGGACGGGTGACTGGAGGTGCAGCTGTTGGTGTACAGGGTGAATAGCAGAGGGGAAAGGACGCAGCCCTGAGGAGATCCTTGCTATCATTCTATGAACACCATTCGTGTTCAGTATTTTTCTGATATGAGTCATGTACACTCCCATTAGTCAAGGCGAGAATGGCCTGAGGATCATTGGATGCCTACAGGAAGGCCACCCATACAGATGTCTACCTAAAACCTGACTACTACCACCATCCATCCCAGAAGAATTCCCTCATCAAAACTCTACACCATAGAGCTCTATGTATATCAGACCATCATCACCTAGCCAGTGAACTGGAACACGTAAACCAAGCTCTCAAGATGAATGGATATTCAGACTACACAATTCGTAAAGCTATCACCCCAACTGTTGGGAAAGAACCATCTGAGGACCCAATCAAAACCATCACCTTGCCATACATAGCAGGGGTCACCAAAAATATCTCCAAAATCATGAGCAAACGCAAAATCAGGTTCGATTCAACACAGTGCGTAAAATTCGTGATCTGATCCCATCTGTGAAGGATGTGAGCCCTGACATGCCGTCGTCTGCAAACTAAGCTGTGTCTGCGGAAATCGTTACATTGGGGAAACTAAGCGACAGGTCTCGGACCGTGTTCGTGAACACAAGGCAGATCTGAAACACGGTAGGGCCAATACCTCGGCCGTAGCTGATCATTGTTTTAATGCGGTGGGCTCACACGAAATTGATTTCTCCAAGACAAATATACTTTGCAAACCCACTGGCTATCAACAAAGATTCGTTCATAAGCCATCCATATTTATAGACAAAAACACAATTTCAACCGAGAAGATGGGTACAAACGTAGCAATCATTGGAAGGACGTTATTAACCAGTGATGTTTCCACCCTACCTTCCGATGTTAGTTGTTATTTTCGGCTCTGATTTTACATTAACAAGTTACATTTCTCACACTAACACAGCCACCTCGTGCGCCAATGCTGCAGCAGCTCTGCAATCTCACATTAACATGCTAATCTCTCACATTAACATGCTAATCTCTCACATTAACATGCTAATCTCTCACATTAACATGCTAATCTCTCACATTAACATGCCTAATCTCTCACATTAACATGCTAATCTCTCACATTAACATGCTAATCTCTCACATTAACATGCTAATCTCTCACATTAACATGCTAATCTCTCACATTAACATGCTAATCTCTCACATTAACATGCTAATCTCTCACATTAACATGCTAATCTCACATTAGCATCACTAGTCCCGCCCACTTTGTTTACGACCCTTGGGCTACACCCATTTTAAACCTTTAAAACAGTCTGCCTCAGCAACTTTACTCTTTTTTCCTCCTGATGAGGATCGCTTGTGTTGTGATCGAAACGTCGTAGTTTTTATTATTATTTTCTTTCAACCTATCTACGTGACTTTACCGAAAGACCCAAAGAATATTAATTCCCGCAGTCACGAAAGCTTTAAGTCAAGGTTTACTTATTAATCTTGATTTGAAGCTTTCGTGACTGCAGGAATCCAATTAATTAATTTTTCTACCTACGTGACTTTACCGAAAGAATCAAAGAGTATGATTTATTTATTGTATGTTTAATTCATACATCATTTTGTTTCAAAAGACATGGAATTGGTAAATATAAACCCTATTGGCTATTTAAGAAAAGACCAGTTTTGATTCAAGAAGGCTATTATGGTAAAACTATGGAATTTCCACAATTATCATTGGGGTTAACAAACTTTTTCTCGGCACTGTATAGTACAGTAGCGCATATAAAGGCTATCGCAACTCTAGACGCTTCCCAATGTTACCTAACATAAGTACAAAATATTGTATTGAACACGTAAAAGAAGTTCAACCAATTATACGTGAATACGAACGATATAAAACACCTGGATTACGTTGCAAAATAAGAATATCAAGACGGATATTAAGGGCATAATTGGACAATTCCAAATCAAAGAAACTGGACGGTCGTGCAAAGGGTTCAGGTTAAATCACAGGAAGCGCTCTCAGAGCTGTGACTAAGACCCAATACATCAACAAAGAAAGAAAACAGAAGTAATACGAGAATTATGTAACAAAACATTTCAGGGCAGTCCATGACTTACCATCCTGCCATGGGTCATGTTCTGTTTATTTATTGAAAAATGTCCTTGGGAGTCATATTAGTATTTGCTTAGTACAATAGTCGCTGTAGAAAGGATTTGGTCCTCATACATAATACATATACAGTGTTATGGGATGCAATGTGCATGAATGACGCAATATAAAATGAAGGTATTATTATCATCCCTTCTTTCAAGACCAACTAATGCTAAAAACCGTCCGGCATGGCGTGGGCTTGTTGCGGCCTTATGCTCCACTGGGAGCGAAGTGGAGTAACTTGATTCCTTCTCCCCCTCCTCATCTCTCTCCCTGCTGCTGCTGCTCCTCTTGCGCCGTGCCCTCCTCTTTGTCCGTCTTGGGGACTTCTGCTCCAGCATCCTTCCTTTCCCTTTCGTCCTTCTCCCTACGTGACACGTTGGCTCTACTCCCCGTACTGTGCCATGGGTACAATGTGTTCCTCTCTACAAACGTCAGGGTTGTGCAAAAAAAACATTCCTGTCCTCATATCCTGAGCCCTTGAAATATATATGTCCCAAAACCAACATATTCAATGCAGCCATATTCCTCATAATCACGGCAAAACAATTACAGATAGACAATCCTTGTTTATTATATTTGACTATGAACAAAAACTTGTAAAGGCAAAAGCGCAGTAAAATTAAATCATCAAAAATTAATACATATGCAGCATAGCCACTACTTTTAAACGTACCCGTTTACCCACGAAAGCCTCACTGGCTCTAAAAACTGACCTTATTGTGCTATTGGTATCATGTTGTGATATGAAGTCCCCATTCTGAAGCCTCACGGTGCAGCCCTTGCATATACAGAAGGGCCCACAAAAGCAGATGTCATCAACACGCGAGCTACGAGGACCCTCCAAGTGACCTCCTGTACACACAACTAGAGGGCAGCACTTCCCCACTCACACGGGAACTTTCCTTTGAACAAAATTAAGTGCAGGTGTGACGTGGTGGGGATTTTTGCAGTCACTGCTGACTGGGCCGCGAGACCCTCAAGCCACTCGGCTTGAAAACCAGGTTTTGATAGCATGCGGCTGGCTGCCTGGATTCGAACCCGGGGTCTCAGCGGTTGCCAACTCAGCGCTTTCACAAACGATAACCTTCGAATGTTTACTTGTTTTAAAATGACAAAATAGGTCAAGCACGACGCTCATACCAGAGATGTCTTCAGGAGACAAAGTAGACCGAGGTGAAATTGCATGTTCAAATGCCATAAAAATTCGGTCTACATAATTATAATTCTCTCATATATTGATAGGTCTTTTTTTATAACTCCAGTTATAAACTACAGCATGAACACTGTACATTAATGTTCAAACTATAATAGGAGCACCAAGTAGGAAACTATGGTGTATGAAAACAACACGTTCACAAGCATACGTAAACAGCATACCCATATAAAGCACCCATATACAGCATAACCAATACGTTTGTATTCTTTGTTCTTTCGGTAAAGTCACGTGGAAGGGAAATAATAAAAAATTACAAATAAAACATCATAAAAATTATCACGTTTCGATTGCAACACAAGCAAGCGTCGTGAGAATTTTTATTGTTTTATTTTAATTGTATTCTTTCCCTTCTACGTGACTTTACCGAAAGAACCAAGAATATGAACCCCTGCAGTCACGAAAGCTTTAAATCAAAATTAAATACGTTTGCATTACTATGGCACACATCTCCAAAACACATTCCTGCGGAGGGAGCTGGTAGGAACGTTGGGTTGCTCGGTCAATGGCCAGGGTCAACGGCGGCGTGGTGTATTCCGCAAATATGCCCGACTGTGAGGGCGGGCACAAGCCGGCGTGAGTAGGTTAAACGTTGAGTTGTATAAGGGCACCACGGGGTGACCAGCCCCTCCCCACCCAGCCCCCACCCCTCCCACCCCCCACCCCTCCCACCCCCCACCCAGCCATACCCTCCCCACCCAGACCCACCCTCCCCACCCAGCCCCTCCCCACCCAGCCCCTTCCCACCCAGCCCATCCCCACCCTCCCCTCTCCACCCAACCCAACCACTCCCATTTTTGGATGCACGACGGACGGACACAATAATCCCCAGTGGGCTGGTGGAACCAGGTGGTTCCTACCAGTAATATTTACAATCAATCCTCATGTAGCCAATCAACAACATTTGGAGGCATTGGCGGTACATCGGTGCAGCATAACACAGCGGGGTCCTCATAAAACCGTCTGACAATGTCCCTGTTGCCCTCGAGTGAGCAGCAGACTCACAATCTGAAGTTACCTTTGATTCAGCAGCTGCATTCCCATTCGAACGTGTGGCGACACCACGAGTCGTAATCTTTTTTATGCCACCGTCCTCCATGAAATTATTCCAAAAATGAATCGAGGAACCGTCCAACCAAGTCTAGGGCACGAGGAGTCAAATCTGCCTTTGGAACAGCGAGCAGCCAATCTTCATCAGGCTGGGTGCTGCGAAATGGCAACAGACTGTGAAGCTTCGTGTTCAGCTGCTCATGACGTTCACCTTCCGACTGCTTCGACATCACGAGAACCGATTTTTATGCACCAACCTGCAAGGTTTCCTGACCAGAGGTTGCGAATTGCGGGGGGGGGGAAGCTTATACCACGCACCACCACCGGTGTACTGAGAATACGTTCAAATATTCACATTCCACACACCCAGCCACCACACATGCCAGCACAAATCCCTATTTTTGTAGTCCACGGGCCAGAGCAGAAATACCACCTAAGGTAGTGAAGCTTAAGTCACTACAATTTATTTACATAGCCAATAAGAGTGGATTACTTTGTAACACACTCATTTTGATTGGTTGTCAAAATTCAGTACTAATGGCCACATCAAGATATTGGAATCTGCAAAAGCTCCGCCACCTCAGGTAGCACCCAAAAGTGAAATATCTGGTCTGGGCTCATTGACCCACTGTGGAAATGTCAAGAAAACATGATTGAGACAATTATTCTGGAGATCTTTACATTGTCGTTTTTGTAAACCGGTATCCCTCGATTTAAGAACGTTTGGTTTGCGAAAATTCGCGTTAACACAATTGACAAATTACGGACACTTTTTGAATGACGAAATCGATTTTCCCGCAAGCGGCAAAATTTCACTATGGCAGGCGTCATCCATCCACGACAGCGTCACGGTGTCCTTGCAGTGCAACAGTAACGCCTCCACATCGCCTTGCCAGTCATTCCAACATGCAAACAGATCGTTTTGGAATTTCCCTGAAAACTGTAATTTATTTGTGTTTAATTAATTATTATTCAATTGTTTTCATATTTATGTTCTTTATTATTTTTGTATTGAGAAAAGTGATATGGGTGTCATTTTTTAGGCTGGCAGTCGAGCTATTAAATTAATGAGAAAAGCCATTCCGATTCATGAAATTTCGTTTTACGTGCGAATATTGAAGAGCGCATCCCTTTCGTAAATCGAGGGATACCCCATACATAAAATGTACACTTGGTTCAGAGGATGTCTCATTACATGGACACCACTCTAAGTACCTACTCATTCGAGTGTACTTTTAGAGAGATGAATATGTATCCAATAGCCCACTCTGAATAAAATTAGACTAATTTTTCTTTTTAAAAACTTACATCACAACATCACCACCGGCAGATGTGACCACGACTTCAAACCTACACGACTGATACTCAGACACGCACAGCTCTTGTCTGTGGAGATGGACACTGTAGATGTCTAGAGGTTTGCGCTTGTTGACTTTATCGATTGTCATAACTCCCTATATGCGCACTTAACACGTCTACTTGTCCATTTAAACGCAAGTGCAATCATCACCCCGGTACCATTTGAATTTTCTATAATTAATTATACTATTAATGGTTTTAAAGGTAAAATTTTCTTAGCCAATTCGTATTACAATGTGTTCAATGCGGTATACAGTAAACTCTTGATTATCCACGCTAGTGACGGGCAGGACGGCCGTGGATAATAATTCAAAATTGCGGATAATCCAAAAACATCTATTGTCCCCAGATCTCTATGCCAAAAAACACTAATGTAGGGGTATAAGTTATGTTTCAGTTGAGAAAATTTGTTAATGAGCAAAACAAAAAATTTGAGAGAATAACCGACCGATCGATATGCGTGCTCGGCCCACGAAGTGAATAACAGAGCCACGCCAATCAACATCTAATTCTGCCCACTGTTGTAAAGATCTGCAACTGTTGTACTGTAGAGGCGATCACGTGGATTTTGCATTAACTGGATCAACATATTTGTTCGGTTTAAGCACGTGACTTGTAATAAACATTTCCAAGAATAACAATGTATGTTTTTAGATTATTCACTTGGGCTTAATTTACGTCAACATCTAAGGTGCGAGCTTAAACTGCAAATTGGATAAACTGCAAGTGGATAATCAAGAGTCTACTGTATTTATTACTGTTCCTCAGAGAACCTGAAGAAACCCCACGCAGAGCAGGACAGAATACAAACCCCACACAGAGGGGCGCCGCCCGAATTAGGAATCAAACATAGGCCGTTCTTGCTGTGGGGAATGAGTGTTAACACTGCGCCACCCTGCTGCCCAGGTCGCCGAAAAGGATTTGTTCATTACCACTTACTCAGAAAGCTTAATGCTCAATGTAGTATTTGACAAGATGATTTCCAGCGAGATCTGTGCAGTCGTTCTTTGGCTAGTGACGGCACGTTTGAGACCAAGCCGTCTCGGATTGCAGTGTGGGACAGAGCGGCTGGGGTGGTCAGTTATTCCCACTGGACACGAGGCTTGCACGTGGGGACGATGACACAAACACATCTTCCCCACCCTCATCTTCCTCCAGGATGGAGTCTGTAAGACAAATAGGAATTGCGCTCAACACATTTTATACAAATCAACATTGAATGAAGAAAAGCATTTGTTCAGCTCAGTCTATCAAGACTATCTCATTGGTAGGTGGCCAAAGTCAGAGCACTGAGCTGCACCGATGGCAGTGATTTGCCAGCATTGATTCAAGCGAGCCAAACTCTGCTGATGAGTCGGGCTTGCTTAAAACAATGCTGGCTAACTGGCAGATGTTAATAAGCTAGGACCCTCTCTGCTAAGATACACATCCTACTTTGATGCAGAACTATTCGGGGACTCAAAACGCCACAATCGCTCGCGTCATTGTTTGAGAATATTTAAGTAACAAGGTGAGTAGAAAATTTCGCTTTCTCTAGATATACACCACGATCATGTAAACATAAATATATATGTACATGGAAGCATCGTTAAAGCAGAAGCAGCGCCGCCTGACCTTGCTTCTGGGGCTGCCTGGGCATTCCGCTGTCGCTGTCCAAGCTGCCCGAGCTGCCCGGGCGCACGAGCTCCTCCTTCATCTTCTCCAGCAGCTGCTTCACCCTGGTGCGTTTCTCCTCACTGCTGCAGGTCAGGTAGGCAGGCGTCACCTTCATCACCAATTCCCGCTTGCTGTAGCCCAACCAGTAAGCAATGTCAAAGAGTGCGTCCGTCTCGTATTGCAAGGTGAAGCGGAGGCCGGGGAGCGGAATGTCCTTGGCATAGCCCTCCTTGGAACTGAAGAAATCTTTGACAATTTTCTCCAGGCTGACCTGTTGACCAAGAATAGAAAAACATATATATACGAGCCTTTTGTCCGTCCAAGGACGGGTGTATTTCAGTAAATCTGAAACTTGCAAGCGAAAAGCAGACCGCAACGTGAAATTAATTGCATCAATTCGTGTGAAATTTGTTAAGCCGCGGTGACACAGACCTATTTCATTTAAAGGTTATAATCCCTCGTTCATCATGACGTCTTTTTTACTTCTATGTCTCAATAGGGTTATGGAAATCGCATGACGTGAGGGTTCTGCCTTTGTAGTGAGGGTTGTAAGTTGACGCCGAGGAGGGGGGAGGAGGCGCCTCACCCCCCCCCCCCATGTGGAGTGACGTCACCCTCTAAATATTATTAATGGGGGGGGCTGGCCGATGTAGAGTGACGTCACGCGCGGGACACACAGACACTCTTGGCTCATTATAGTAGTAAATACACACACATTTCCTTCATAAATATCATGATACTTTTTTTCCCAGGAAAGCCACAACGAGTCAAAATATTCCAGAGGGTCCTGTGGCATTTGGATGTTTGGTCAACATCAATTGCATAGTGTGCTGTGTGTGGTTGCAGCTGTGGGGAGAACCCGGAGAATCCGGAGGAAACCCACACCGGACAGGTGGAGAACACAGATAAAGGTGCCCGAATCAGGAATCAAACCCAGGTTCTTCCTGCTGTGAGGCACGAGTGTTACCACTGCACTACCTACCCTGCCATCCAATAAGTTGAAAAGTCTAAAGTCAATACTTAAATTGCAATACAGAACCATAATACAGATATAATGTCGTGTTGTATAACTGAATTGCCTGCTTCTTGTATGCAAACACAAATGGACTGCAATGTTTATAGGCAAGGACTGGTTTAGACATGCAGTGTCTCATCAGCAGTCCGGCTTGCTTGAACCAATGCTGGTGAACTGCCAAGCGTGTATAGGCAAGGACTCTTTCCGATGTAATACGAGTCCGAGTTGGACGTAAGCTACGTCATATACAAAACAGAGCAGGAGGCGGCTTACCTCGAACACATAGCTCTCTCCAGAGATGGACGCGATGGCATTGTCCATGGCTTTGATCAGCTGGTGGCGTATATTAGGGTGCCGTGTGTTGAGCAGCACGGCAAAGTCCTGATCTGAAAAGGCGCGGGACACAAACTCCACGTGTAAACACATTTTCTTTCACAGCACAGGGCAGCACGAATGTTTCGAGACTCGTGCCGAACACCTGCGAAGGTGCGTCGTCACATTCTCCCCCAGACGACGCCCATATGTCATTGTACACAGCGTCGGTCGTGAAAATTGTGTCTCGCATTCGCTGAAGGAATCACAGACAAGTGGGAAGGCAGCAATACAGTGAGCCGGCACTAACACTTTCCCCAAGGTCTGCAGTCCTCGATGAAGAAGTTTTAAAACCGATTCATGAGTGTTTACAAGTGGAACGAACATAATTGCTAGGTTCAATTCAACCCCTGGTTGGGGGGAGGACTCATCATCCCGTCAGAGTCAATAAAATGATTCCCACTTCATGGGGAAGTCAAAAGTGGTTGTCTTATGGTTTTAATTGCCCTTGCTATAGGAATGTGGAATTTACACCAATGGCTCAGGGTTGTAAACAGGATATGAACGCTGCCTGAATGCTCACATAAGCAGGAAATATAAGAAAACATGCATATTATGACAACTCTACTGATCTGTGATTTAGCTTATCCACAAAGCCTTAACAGACTTTTTGGGAAAGTGCTGTTAGCGAGCACCTGTGAAGATCGGAAGAGTAGAAGAAAGGGTGGGTGGTCAGCAGCACGCCTGGCCGCCTTTGTCTCCCCAGTGGCGATGTTTACACATTGCACCAAGTTCTCATTTAAAGCCGAGTCGACCTAGGGGAGGCCCAGGACCGGTTCAGATAATCGTCACTGGTGTTGGGCCGTGAGAGGGAATCGAACTCGGGTCGCCGGGTTCATAGCGCAGTACTGTGTGAACCGCTCGCTACGCCGCCACTCCCCGACTGTTCACACGCACAGCACCGCTCACCTTCAGGTGTGCCGTGACGCACGGCCTTCACGGTGATGAAGAACGCGAGGGGTTTGCTGGTGATGGCCTCGCGGTACTGCGTGTACTCCGGGAGCGAGCGAGTCACGTACTTTCTGCAGGACGCACGACACGCAGGCAATGTAGCGTGTGCGCGGGACGATCCACCCGACTTGTTTAGCATTTTGTAAGTGGTGTAAAAAAAAATCAGACGAATCTTCATAACGTTCATTTATATTTGTATTAATCATTATTACTACTACGCGTGTTTACCCAGGAAAGTCTCACCAAGTCTCAAGACGTTATTTTTTCCTGCCAGGTCTTCAGAAGAGCGGCAATGTTGTGGCTGTGTGTGATCCCAATTGAGGCATTTGCAGGTAAAATGTTCAGCATTGGAATGTTTTGGCCAATATCAGCTATATTGTATGTGTTTATTATACGTTGGCTTTCACAATCAATATTATGATTCATTTAATAGTTTATTTGTATAAGGTTGTATGTAAAAATGTGCACTGTATACCCTCCCCCACCCTACACAGCCAATTACTCAAGTTTCAAGTTTTTCAAGTTTCATGTATTAGGTATAGCCCTGTGAGCCATTCGGCTCTTGAATCGGGTGCAATCGCAACAAACAAAAAACAAAAACATGAACAAGAAAACATCTTAAAGTGACTATGTGCAAACAGAAAATCCAAGAAAAGACAGCAAAAAGTGTTACATGCATTTGGGAGAGGTTTTATTGAGGTGACATGCGTTTCTTTATTCAGCCCATCCACTAATTGTGTAACTGCTATAACTCAGCCAACCCGACTCTTTGGTTAGGACTTTCCTGGGTAAATAAAGTGTAACAATAATAACAATAAACGTATTTTCTGTAAAGATGTTGTTACCATTTGAACACAAATTGAGGAATGGCCTTTCATTTAAAATAATATTTACACTATATATTTAAATTCTAAACAATATTTCTATATACAGTGCCGGCACTTCTCAGAACACTAAACATGTGTACCGACACTTTGCAATACGTTTTAGCCTTAGGAACCACACGTTATATACACATAGATAGCATACACCTCCGATTAGCACGGTTGGCTAGGTACGGTGCGAACGAAGGTCAACATACATACAACTATTATTTTTATTTTACAAGGTAAGACTCACTGAGCTATATAGCTCCTTTTCAGAAGTGACCTGGCCACACATGATAGCTCCACTAAGTGGCTTAACATATTGACATTTAAAGCAGCCTAATACTCCAAACGTATGATTCTAAATGGAGGGGAAAGCCAGACCCAGAGAAAATTCACACGATCACAGTGAGAACATGCAATCTCCAAATATACAGGCATCAGGGTCGGGATTGAACCCACGCCCTCCCGTTTACCAGGTGAGGTAGTTAACATCTCGCCACCATGGCACCCTTACATACAACATGCATACACACACAGGGAGTAGACCACTCTGTGCTGGTGTTACAGTCCAAATCTGCCAAATTATAAAGTTACTTGCAAACTATTCAATCGGGATTAAAGCAATCATCACCCCCTATTGGGAGATTAATGCCCAATTGCAGGCCTGTGCCGAGTCACCTTGTGCACACAGGGCCAACTGACACTTGGTGTGAACTTTCAAACGTTCGAGACCAGATGCGGTTATCGCGTGTAAAGCGCTCCGAGATGCCCTGGAGTAACGGAGGGGAATTCTCATCAAGAACAAATCATGACTATTGTTATACACTACACGGCGAAACGATATAACAGCTGGCTGCCCACCCTGTTGGCCCATATGCGTGACGTGTACGACGGCTTTGCTGCGGGGAGGTTGTCGGGAAGTGGCGGCTCCTGCTCACCTGGGCAGGTAGTTGACGAGTGTATGGTGCTGGCCGTCCATGCTGAAGTCCCCGCCGCTGATGAGCATGAAGCCGCCGGGACCTTCCGAGTTGACCGTCAACACCCGGTCGGGCCCCTCCTTGAAGTCGTCGGCCATGAGCGCGAGGAAGTTACGCAGGGGCAGGATGCCCACCTGGCAGTTGCATGTCGAGTTGGTGGGCAGCACGGCCGAGCTGCTGGACAGCACCGAGAAGCTGCGGTACTCGCGCGGGAGCCGCAGCACAATGGGGACGCCCGAGGAGACGCTGCCCGACAGGTCCTCCGATTGGCTCCGCGTCCAGCGCTTGTCCAACGAGAACCTCTTCCTCTCGGGCAGCTGCATGCTCGTTCGCTTCATCATGTTGGGAATGGAGCTGTGGTCCTGCTGCTGCTACTGAAAAAGAAGGGCCAAGTTATGAACCGAGCCTGGGTCTGCTTGTGCTGTGGATGCGATTCTGTCGAGGACACGGGGAGAATGAGAATGTCCGTGTGCAATGGAAAAACAAGTGGTGATGATGCACAATGCTTATGATTCTTATGGACACTGAAACCATTACCTGGCACCTCAGCAATGCCATCAACATTACCTCCATTAACACTATCACAACACCTCCCACATTACCACAATCACAACACCAACAATATTACCACCATTAATATTACCAATATCATAACACTAGAAACTACGCAACAGCCGAATACACAAAGACAACTACAGCCTTGAACCACAGGTGGAAATTCTACGTTACTATGGCGGGACTGAGTCTTGCGTAGGCGAGCCTATCCATAGACAAGACACAGAGCCTCCGTGTATACCTTAACATACGTTTTGGCCAAGTGCCGTTAGCGAGCACCTATGAAGGCCGGCACGGCACACGAGGGGGTAGGTGGCCAACGCCACGCCCGGCCGCCTTTGATTCCCCAGTGGCGATGTTTACACACTGCACTAGGGACTCATTTGAGACTGAGTCTACCTAGGGGATGCCATCGGACCGGTTCAGATAATCGTCACCGGCGTTGGCCGTGACCGGGAATCGAACTCGGGTCGCCAGGTTCGTAGCGCCGCCGCGCTAACCACTACGCCACCGCTCCCCACTATCCAAAGGAACGTCCCAAAGCAACCACCATCTCTTGACCTTCCGGGTAAATGGTTCCCAGCAGCCATTTAAACGGCGTGTTCAACTAAACTGGGTCTCATCAGCAGTGATTTTCGTGTAGGGTAAACAGCCGCTTGTTGGAGAGCTCGACTCGGCGCATTGCCTCCGCGTTGGGGGGGTGGGGGCAGGTCTATCCAACCTCACCAGAGCGATGTTGGGACTTCGCAACTGCCGACTAACACGGCCACGCAGGTTCCATCACCTGCCTCACGGCACGAAGCTCTCGCGGCCCAACACAAACGCCGATGGCCACCGGTCCGGGTCAAACCCGGGTGACGACAACTGTGGCGTGACGCGATCGCCGCTGGGTTCCTACCACGGGTACGGCTCCTTGCTCGTCCTACCTCGCGGCTCGGGGTCTCTTGAGGCTCTGAGCGTCTCCTTCCTGGCCCACGACCTTTTTACTTTGCGCCTCGACGCAGCACAGGTGCGCTTCCGCCTCGCCCTCTCCGAGCCGGGAGCCCTCCCCCCTCCCTTCCCCCCTCCCTTCCCCCCTCCCCCCTCCCTTCCCCCCTCCCCCTCCCTTCCCCCCTCCCTTCCCCCCTCCCCCCTCCCTTCCCCCCTCCCCCCTCCCTTCCCCCCTCCCCCCTCCCTCCCCCCTCCCTTCCCCCCTCCCCCCTCCCTTCCCCCCTCCCCCCTCCCTTCCCCCCTCCCCCCTCCCTTCCCCCCTCCCCCCTCCCTTCCCCCCTCCCCCCTCCCTTCCCCCCTCCCCCCTCCCTTCCCCCCTCCCCCCTCCCTTCCCCCCCCCTCCCTTCCCCCCTCCCCCCTCCCTTCCCCCCTCCCTTCCCCCCTCCCTTCCCCCCCCGTCCCCCTCCCTTCCCCCCCCCTCCCTTCCCCCCACCCCTCCCTTCCCCCACCCCCTCCCTTCCCCCCCTCCCCCTCCCTTCCCCCCCCCCTCCCCCTCCCTTCCCCCCCCCTCCCCCTCCCTTCCCCCCCCTCCCTCCCCCTCCCTTCCCCCCCTCCCTTCCCCCCCTCCCTTTCCACCCCCTCCCTTCCCCCCCTCCCTTCCCCCCTTCCCCCCTTCCCCCCCTCCCTTCCTACCTCCTCTCCCCCCCCATCCTCCTCCCTTCGCCCTCCCCCCTTCTACTTCCCCCCTCCCTTCCCCCCTCCCTCCCCTCCTCCCTCCCCTCCTCCTCCCCCCTCCTCCCCTCCCCCCTCCTCCTTCCCCTCCTCCCCTCCCCCCTCCTCCTTCCCCCCCTTCCCTCCCCCCTCCTCCCCCCCCTCCTCCCCCCATTTGCCCCTCCTCCTCCCCTCCTCCCCCCTTCAACCCCCTCCTCCCCCCTCCTCCCCCCTCCATCCCCCTCCTCCCCCCTCCATCCCCCTCCTCCCCCCTCCTCCTCCCCTCCTCCCCCCTTCAACCCCCTCCTCCCCCCTCCTCCCCCCTCCACCCCCCTCCTCCCCCCTCCACCCCCCTCCACCCCCCTCCTCCCCCCTCCTCCCCCCTTCAACCCCCCTCCTCCCCCCTCCTCCCCCCTCCACCCCCCTCCTCCCCCCTCCCCCAACAGCTGCGATGGTCGCCGCGCCCGCGCCGTCACGCTTGAGGCTGCTGGGCGTTTGTGCCCGCGCCGTCCCGCCTCAGCGCTCCGCCAGGCTGACAGGGGACGGCGCCAGGCGGGCGGGGGGCCGTGCGGCTGTTGTTGCGGTGAGCGCGCTCACGGCCCAACACACCAAAGGTCGACTCGGCCTCAAATGAGTACCTGGTGCGGTGGGTAATAGACATTCTCCAATGGGGAGACAAAGGCAGCCGGGCGTGCTGTTGGCCACCCACCCCCTCGTGTGCCGTGCCAACCATTATATAGGTACTACTCTTAAACAACACTTGCCCCAATAGTCTGTTAAGGCTACCTGGGGGTTATTTGTCCCGTGAGGCTGACGCCGGAGCTGATAGTTGTCAGGCCCTCCGCGGCTCCATCGCGCGAGGCCGGCCGGGCGGTTGGTGGTGGCCACTCTGCACCTGTCCGGTGATCATCCGGCAGTGTGGAGGCAGCAGGAGCTTGGCTCTCCTGGATAAATAAATTAATATATTTCCATTGTGATCATGTCAACCCCGGCGGCCCCACAATAAGTAACATCTATTGTGCTGTAATGTATCGTAAACATTTTTTTAAACATCAACTTTTTTCATGGCTCATCTCCAAACCATTTTTCTTTAGACTGACGTGTGACTTTAAGTGCACCTCTATTGTGGTATTGTCATGGGACAAACTTGTAAACACCACATACCGGTTTGCCGTGCTTAAGTAAATGTCCAACAATAAACACAGCACGGTTACGGAGCTGTCGGCCTTGAGCCGCCACTGCCGAGCACAACACTTTCTGCTTCTTCCCTCGCACTGCTCCTTCACCTTGGAATTGTTTCCTCTGCTCATATATAGCCTTGCTCAATATAACGACAATTTTGTTGCAACTCTGATGGCGCTATGTGTTGTAGGCCAATTTACGTGTTGGGCCTTTGCTCAGCAACTGTTGAGAAAAGAAAACGGAAGCGATGAAAACTCTGGCCCAAGTACCGAACAGCCTAACGCGGTGGCCGAGATTTGCCGCACGTCCAATTCCACGCCTCCAACTTCCCAGTAGCATCCTTCATGAGCCCCCTCCATCAAGGCCAGTCTTGACACTGCTAGTACAGGTCACATTGGAAAGTCTACTCAGCTCCAAATCATTCTGTACCACATCAGCCCATCTCTGTTCCGTGCTCGTTGAGCCCCCTCTGGCCAAACAGAAGCTGCTGAGGAATGCATTGCCCTTTGAACCCAAGCATGACGAACTCCAGTGGCAGGGTGGCGCAGTGGAAGTAACACTTGGGCTCTGCAGCAAGGAGGACCTGGGTTCGATTTACGACTCGGGCGCCTGTCTGTGTGGAGTTTGTATGTTCTCTCCCTGCTCTGCATGGGGTTTCTCCGGTGTCCTCCCATAGCTAAACAAAATTAACGCGTCTTCTTGGTTCTTTCGGTAAAGTCACGTAGAAGGAAAATAATAAATAATACAAAATTAAACATAATAAAATACAATTCTCACGACGTTTCGGCCACAACGCAAGCAGCTGTCCTCAGGTGAAGAGCAGGTCTGTCGGAAAGACAGCGTCTGAATGAACACCACCAAGCTTGGCAGCGTATATTTAAGCTGGGTTAGAGGAGGAAGGGCACCTTGACAAAGGAATTTGCATATCAACAGAGGAATTTAGCATATTTATGAAAAATTCAGATATGGGATTAGTCACTACTTGTGGATGTGTAGGAGGTGGTATACAGTAGGGTGGGTAGAATAATACATAGTGTAATATTATGATGTAAAGAAAAAGTTTAGCTGGAGGCATATTATATTTTTTGCGACATAGAATTGTAATGTATGACTTACTGTTAGTAGCTCAGCTTATTGGAAAGTATATTTAGTATATTGATGATATTGATATAGTTTATATTTTAGTTTTTTACGTGGTGGTTTGGCTGCTGCAGCTTCTTACTATTAGAATTCCTTCCCTTTATTACTGTTAATCCTACATAATGCACGAGCATAATATGACTTTGAGACCCCCCCCCCCACCTCCTACAAATTCCATAAGTAGTGACTAATCCCATATCTGCATTTTGCATAAATATGCTAAATTAATCTGTTGATATGCAAATTCATTTGTCAAGGCGCCCTTCCTCCTCTAACCCAGCTTAAATATACGCTGCCAAGCTTGGTGGTGTTCATTCAGACGCTGTCTTTCCGATAGACCTGTTCTTCACCTGAGGACGGCTGCTGGCGTTGTGGCCGAAACGTCGTGAGAACTGTATTTTATTATGTTTTATTTTTATTATTTTATTATTTTCCTTCTACGTGACTTTACCGAAAGAACCAAGAAGATGAATCCCTGCAGTCACGAAAGCTTTAAATCGAAAATTAACGCGCAGTGGAACTGATATTGGCCCAAACACTTCGATGCTAAAATTACTAAATTGGGATTTAAACATAGCAACATCACTCTTCTTTGTAAAAACTAGGCAGGAGCCACCTGCAAAAGAGTGGAGACTTATTGAGGCTTTCCTGGGTAAAGAAGCTTAACCAACTTCATTGGTTTGTGCAAAATACCAAAATGGTATACTTTCGAGATGTACTCTCCGCGTGCCTGCTGCCAGTCCACAGAACAAACGTAACTAGTTTGACGTGTTTAAAGGAACAGACTGAAGGGATAACATTTGACTCATGTAATGCATGTAGTTTAACACACGTTTTAAACGTGTGTTAAAATAGTCTAATCAATGTTGTCTCTGATTGCGAGAACCGACATCGCCGATGGCGTATGAGCCCAGATTTTCTTCACCAATCGACGAAATGTGAGGTTAGTTTTTAAACCACGCGTGGCCGAACACAGGGCCCGAAAACGGAAAGCGGGCAGCAAGAGGCAGCACCGTCAGAGTTGTACTCGTCGACAAGAGGACAACACTTTCTGCAGGTGCGGGGTGCGGAATGCGCGGGCGCGCCCCGCTGACTCATACCTCGCCGAGCCGGCCTGCCAACAACAAACACTGCATTCGTTTCCAGATTTATAATACTTTTCTTATAAATCAGTTTACTTTGTAATACGTTTATGATTATTGAATGGTTGACCGTTATTCAGTATCCACTAGTAGGTCACTCATTCTATACCAATGTAAAACTCTTCATCAGGAAATATTAAATGTTGTTTTCATCAGGCCCATTATGTACAGGGTGGTCCAGATGTATTGTGACCCCACTTAATTGTCCCCTAACACGTTTTCTCTTTGCATATTAACTTCATTTGTAAATAAACCTCACTTTAGAAGTACAATATGACGTTTTAGAGAATTAAATGGGGGTCACAAGAAATTTGGACCACCCTGTACGGTGCAGTCTTCAGCCCTCATTATCCTCTCTGTCCCTTCACTGGCCTCTCGATGTGCGAGTAAGGGTCATTGCCCGAGCGTCTGTTACCTATTGTATTGTTCCTTAGGAGGCAGTTGTTGATGAATGTGCTGAGGATTCGTTAGCCTGTGCAACACTGCCCATGCAGCACCACCAAGTCATGCATTTGTTGCCTTTTGTGTCATCTTTAGATGGAGAGTAGACACACAGTCAGACGTTTAGTGAACTATAAGAGGCTGTTGTCAAACACTACTGTATGCATATTAACATGCAATCATATTAACATGCAATCATATTCAAACTTGATTTGAAGCTTTCGTGACTGCAGGAATTACTCTTTGGTTATTTCGGTAAAGTCACGTAGAAAGAAAATAAATAAAATACTATAAAATGTATTTAATAAATTAAATATAATACTATTTGATTTATTTAAATAGAATACTATTTAATTTATTTTCTTTCTACGTGACTTTACCAAAAGAACCAAAGAGTAATCGTATTCAACATAAGTCACGAGCTTTACAAACTATTTTTGTAGGGTATACATGACATTTCCATAACTACAGTGAGGGAAAA